GAAGGAGAAGCATCTGTAGGACAGTGGTCTCAGGCCTGAGGCGTGGTCGACCGTATTGGTTGGCCCCATTGGCTGAATTAAGCCCACCTGGCCTAGTTTGGGCCCACCCAGGTGTACTGCCCACCCCTTAGCCTTCATTGGCTTCCAACCTCCTGGGGGTGGGGGTGGGGGAGCCTCCAGGCATGGAGAGGACACCCCTGGTCCCTGTCTCTAGCTACCTAACAGCCTTCTGCTAGTAACTTCTAGTCTCTCCTTTCCCTTGTGCTGGTCAAATTCTTTAAAGAGGATGCTTTCAGTCTCCTACCTGGAAGCTATTTTCTAGATAACTGCAGGAGAAGAAAGGCGCTAGAGTGGTGCAGTGGGTGAGGGATCGGCCCTCTACCTGCAAGGTTGTTGGTTCCAATTTACCAACCAGTCCGGGAGGAAGACGACTCCGTGTGCTCCCCTAAAGATGCACAGACTCAGAAACCCTCCTCTGGAAAGATGCTGTGAGTGCGAACTGACTCAATGCAGGGGGTGGGTGACAGGACGAGAAGGTTGAGGGGGCCCAGTGTTCAGTGCATCAATGCCTCTCTGTTGAGTAGGGTGCCAAGCCCTTTGACTAGGCCGGCTTCTCATCTTCTGAAGCAGGCTTTTCACTAATCCTCCTGTTTTCAACCCCACTTTTATTGGTGACACCTGGTGCAACCTCTTCCTGCGATGTGTGAAGGCTCTCCCTACTGTGGGCTTAGGACCTTGGCTTCTTGGGCAGTGCTAAATCAGCTAGTGCCCACAAGTACCCATGCTGTCCAGGTTCCCACAGTCTCCTGTCTTTTCTCTTCTTGCTCCTATAGTACACGCCTTTAAAAAGGTCATTTAGTGAGGCTTGGGGTCGATTGTCATGCGCATGTTCCGCCTTCCGCGCCTTTTGCGTTGACTCTCCCTGCTATGAGGAGGGCTGCATTTGTTTGTGCAGAGGCTTGTCCACTAGATGGGTCCAAAAGGAGCATCCCCTCCTCGCTGCTGACTTCTCTTAGGAAGAGACACACACAAGCCCAGCACACACACATGCAGCTGAGTACACGCACAGTGCCACCAGCAACTCACTTAAGTCGCTTCCAGTTTCATGATGAAAAATAAAACCTAAACGGTCATGATGTCTGTAAAAAGACTTTGAGAACTCCTGATCCCAGTATCCAGAATGTGAAGTGTTCTTTTCAGTGCCTCGGCAACTGGCGTTTCTCTTGGAAACAACGAGAGAGTAACTTTTCGGCATTCTATCATGTTTCAGAATTTCAAATTTGGAAAAGAAAGCGCACGGTCACTCTGAGGCAGATACTCAGACGGAGGAGAGCCCAGAAGCAGAGAGAGAAGAGAAAGGCCCAGAAACTGTGAGTACTGAGTCTCACATGCCTGCTATCCCGTACCTGGTGGGCGTGAGTGTGGTGTGGAGGTGATGATGTGAGTCAGATGCTGTGTGTGTACTTCGTTGTCATGTTGTCGTTGTTGTGTGCCATCAAGCCGACCCAGGCTCCCTGGAGCCCTGGTGGTGCAGTGGTTAAGTGCTCTGCTACTAGACAAAAGGCCAGCATGTGGCCCTCTGAGCTGCTGCTGAGGACAAAGGATCGGAGGACCTGCTGCTGGAGAGACCAGGCAGAGAAGACCCCAGGGGCCAGCTCCTGTCTCCCTGCCTCTCCTCGGGTTGCTATATGTGCTTTAGGTGGATCAAAATAATATGAAAGCTGATTAATATGTGCTTCTCTGATATTTCCTTGTCCTGATTTGAATTTGCTTCAGTCTGCATTGTAGTGAGATGTAATTTCTCTCAGTAGTCTAGAAATGCACTATCATATCGCTTCTGGATCGATTTCCTCTCCTAAATGCTTCATATCGCTTCTGGATCGATTTCCTCTCCTAAATGCTTCATATCGCTTCTGGATCGATTTCCTCTGCTAAATGCTTAAGTGAACTGACCAGCGTAATGAAAACGGAAGTTTTCCCACCCTAGGAGCCTGAGTGTCGAAATAAGCAAGTTGGCACCGTTAACAAGTTGCTGTGCAGGTTTAATAGACAACTTTAAAGTTGGCCGTTGAGTCATGACCAAGGAAACCAGTGCTCTCCTTAATTAAGCTCTTCAGGGTATTTACATGCAATACGTAACGCTGAGTGCTTCAGCGACCATGGTCACCTAAGTATAATTATGGAGAAATAGACCAGCTACTTCTAAAAGTTATTTATATCGCTCAAGGCATAGCTGTAGTGTTTATAAGCATGAAAAAATGGATATATGCACTTCAAAAAGTCCATGGAGAAATTCCATTATCTTATCATTCTGTTCTTCCACAAACTTTTTGAAGCTCCATTGTGGGTGTGGGCATATAGCACATAGGTTTCTGACATTGCATAAGATGACTTTCAGTGTTGTGAGTAAGGAAACTTCATAAAGCAGAACTTGCAACTTTATTTCAAATAAGGATAGGACATGGCCAAGAAACCTGAGCTAGAATGGAAGATCCTGATTCTTTTGCTTTGAATAAAGCTCCGTGCATGCGTGTGTGCAAGTTAATGATGCCACGAAGTTACAGCAGGCATGTACATAAAATCCTAACTTTAGCTATTCATTTGCGCAACAAGTGTATAATGAATGCCTACCAGATGCTGTACTCTGGCTGAGTCTCCTTGACTCTCAGGGGAAGGGAGAACATTTAGAAAGCTGATGACAAGATCACCAGCAAGTAATAATAATGCCCCACACAATAAAAGTCATTCAATATAGGAAATTACTGAAACTTCCAGAGCAATTAAAAACAATCATAGAGCTTCTGGGGAAAATAGAAATAGAAATTGGCAAATTGAAAAGCTGTGAAGGAAACACAGAGGAGACGAGTGTTGTAGCAATATGTGGCGAAGAAATTAGACAGTGCCCTGCTGTCAGATAAAATAGTGTCTGGGGTCTTGAAGACTTGTCTCCAAACAAGCAGCCATCTAACTGAGATGTCAACTAAGTCCACATGGACAGTCACCAAAGGATTATAGATCATACAATCCAAAGTCAAAGGAGGGATTAGTATTAGAGCCTGAATTCCGGTTTGCAGAAGGCTATGGATGAGAGTGGGAGCCCAAGATACATTTGTGGGAATGACACAGGAAATAACCCTCTAGTGATCTCCCTCTGTCCATGGAGGGATGGGAGGAAAGAGAGTGTAGAAGACCAAAGGGGTACACCTGACTCGAGCAGTGAAGACGTCGTCAGTTGATCCCCATCTGATGCACGCTGGACCTGACGGGGTGTCAACATTATCTGTAGTTTTGTTTTTGTATGTTCATATTACAGTTTGTCTTGGAGGTATCATGTCATTGCGGGGACGGTTACCCTCTTGACATTGTGTCACTGTTTTTCGGTATATGAAACCCAGGATTGTTAGGCTGATAGAGACAGCAAGTAGTATAAGGGGTTCAGGCTGCTGAGGGACAGGGGGCAGGCAGTAGAAGGGAAGCAATGTCAAGGAGTCCAGGAAGGAAAAGAGCATTTGGAAACTGACTGTGGTAGCAATTATACAATACTGCTTGACGTGATTGAACTGTGGAATATGTATTAACTCCCCATTAAGAATAATTTTTTTTAACAAAAGAAAAAAGTTTTGAGCAGGATAAGTAAGGCGGTGACCTATGATCCCCTGAGCCATGTTGTCTCGTTGTCAGTTGCCACTGGGGTGGTTTTGACTCCGGGTGACCCCTGGTGTACAGAGTAGAACTGCTCTGTAGGGTTTTCATGACTGTAGCTTTTTAGTAGCAGGTCACTTCTCCAGTTAGGGTGCAGACCACTAACCTGGTACCCAGCAATCAAGCACTTCACCTTGTGCTCCCACTAGGGACTCTCCAGAGCTATGACCACGGTTCATCTTCATTTTGATAAAGTCAATTTCTCAAATGTGGACAAATTAACCAGTAAATGCTCTACAGGGAAGTCCTGTTGTGTCTAAGCCCTGTTGGGGGCATTACTGATCAGAATTCACTCAACTCATCATTAATTTCTACTTTGGGCTCAATGGTTTGTACCATTTGCTTCCAAAGAGGTTCATTTAAAAAGATGAAATCATCAGAGGATGCTAATCACATCTTTGTTGACAATCGCCTGTATGATAGATTGGGAGTGAAGTGGAGATGCTGAACCTTCAAGTGACGACCCTGTTTAAAGAGCTGCAAGAGGCTCATACAAAACTCAGTGAAGCAGAGCTAATGAAGAAGAGACTTCAGGAGAAGTAAGGATGAGAGACCAATTCTATCCTCCTAAATATATGTATCTTTGCAAAATATGCTGTATCCCTGTTACAGTTTTGCCACACATATTATTATGTAAAACTATGGTAACTCTGTTACAATGCTACTGAGTAAAAGAAAAAAGACCAAATTACTATATGAATTCGGAAAACACTAATGTACAAGCAGGATATACTTGTAGTCCTATGGGCGGGGTAGGGACTTTGATCTTGCTCTTGGGGAGCACATTTTAAATGTACCAGCCTGTGGGAAAATATGTATAAATCTGCAAGCCAGCCCTCCCTTGACTGATGTAAGCGGTAAATGCTCTACAGGGAAGCCTGTTGTGTCTAAGACATGTAATATTTGGGGGTATTAATGGTCAGAATTCACTCAACTCACCATTAATTTCTAATTTGACATGATAAACATAAAAGAAAGCTGAAAAGAGGTGAAAAAAATTACACAAGCTATATTTAGAGAAAACAAATTATTTCAATCAATTGTTACAGCTAACAGATACACTGAGGATTTTGCATTTTCTTATTTTTTCATTATGTAGGAAATTAGCCAAAACTTAGGAAAACTAAATTGGTAGTCTCTTAGACTAGTTGACAAATACATTTCCAACACAACATATGGGTTTTTTGGTGTTTGTTTGTTTTTCGCTTTACATAGTGCTCTGGTCTGCTGGTATAACTTAGCAGCTAAAGCTAAGAACTTTGAACCAACAGACCTAGGTTTTAAATATGAGTCTACCACTTACTTTCCAGGCGGCCTGGGGGTATAGTAGGTTATACGTTGGGCTGCTTCCCACAAGGTCAGCAGTTCAAATTTACCAGCTGTTCTGTGGGGGAAAGGTGAGGCTGTCTGCTCTCACAAAGACTTGCAGAGGCAGTCCCACCATGTCCTAACAGGATCCCTGTGAACTGGAATCCACCGGACGGCAATCAGTTTGGTATTGGACTACTTACTTCTTATGTCCTCGGGCAGGTTCTTTTATTTAACTTCTCTGAGCCTTACTTTTATCTTTGTAAATTGTTTGTCATGGTGCTTACCTCATACATTCTATTAAATGAAATGCTGGTTAGGTGCTCGGCACTAGTGCCACCACCTTGGAGTTGATGCCCACTCTTAAGGACTCCGCAGGACACGGTGGAAGTGCCCCCCAGGGTTTCTGACTCTGTCGTGATCGTTGACCCGCAGGTTGGCTCGCGGGTTTGAATCACTGACCAGTGCGCAGCCTACTGCACCACCACATAGATAGCTCGCACTTATTTGATGTTTGCTATTATCACATTGAAATTCCCGCCTTTGATCTTTAAAAAGACATAAGGTCCTTTGTTATTCCCCATTGAATCTTTGTCAGAAGTCCTAGTCTTTGTGTTTAAAGAGCTAGTATCTTCTTTACCTACGAAAGGTTTCCGTAGATCACTGTGAGAGGTGCCTTTGTCCAGTTACAACTTTGTTCTGTATTTAAGTACAAATACTCATATTGTTAACAAGACCAACTCAAGGTGGATGGCTCCTGTGATCTTAGGTCTGTACTTTTCTACGTTTAGGCATCAGGGTTTAGAAAATGGCCATGTCCAAGGAAAAGACAAAGAGGAGAAATGTTCTAGTTTGACCACTAAATTCTTGAAAATCATAACCCTCTGATATTTTGTATTTGCTACTTAATCTTGGTATTTATGTGAAGCTACTAAAAAGCGAAAGCCTGATGATATCTTCATGGTCCTTAGGTGTCAGACCCTTGAGAGGAAAAACTCTGCAAGCCCCTCCGAGCTGAATGAAAAACAAGAACTTGTGTACAGTAACAAGAAGTTAGAGCTGCAAGTAGAGAGCATGCGATCAGAGATCAAAATGGAGCAAACTAAAACAGAGGAGGAGAAGTGAGTACGCTGGGAAGGAACAGGGATTTTGTACAGATTGGAATTAGGATTTGAGAATGACATTTCTCTTCTATTACTTTGGAGTAACTCTGGAAGGCTGTCTAAGGCAATTAGTTTTATCTCCTAACAAAATTATGGAAATGATTTGTGTTCTCGCTTTTCGGAAAATATTATTTCATTGCAGTGCAGGAAAATGCTAGTGACTGGTGGGTGATAAAGGTAGGCGAGATCGTTGCTACTTGGGTGGTCCAATGAAGGCTGCTCTTTCCTCCCCAAGATTCCATTTTTGAAAACCTCTCTGCCTCTCTCACTCTCACTCGCGCTTTGAAAATCTCTTTCCATAGAACCAAATTTGCGACTCTGCAGTTGACACACAGCAAGCTTCTTCAGGAGCACAGCCATGCCTTGAAGACAATTGAAGAACTAAAGATGAAAGAGGTATTCATAGAGAAAACTTGATTTCCATAGCCTGGTAATGATTGAAAACTAGCAGACATCTGTATGTAAACTATTGACATTCAGCTTTAACTCAGTCTGGTTTCAAAGGTTGGTTTTCAATTGATATTTTTGTGTGTGCTGTTAAGTGTGTGTAATTTTTGATACGTTATATGTCTATGAATTCAAGGATGGTAAGGTGAAGTTCAAAGATAATGGAATTTTCCCACGAGTTTTTTTTAACACCCCCTCCCCCCCCCACACACACACAGAGTTCTCTTTGTGTACAAAGATGGTCCTAATGTCCTCTGGTCGGGGAACACACTTGCAGTGTCTCTGCCGGTCGGTTTACAGGAGAGCAGCAGAGTGAGTAGTGTACACACCGCGAGACAGCCGGCTCGGGGGAGAGGCATCATCTGGTGCGAGGGCCTCTGAGAGGCCAGCTGGCCCACTGCTGGGACGCTTGAGACCCCGAGCTCATTGGTGTGCAGCTTCAATGAAGAACTGCCCCGCATGATGCGGCCACTCACAGGCCACATCAGCTCTGAATTAGAAGGGGTCTTTGGGTTTATATCCTTATAAATAAACTCCTAGGTTTTTTCCCATTTATCGTTAAATGGAATATATTTTCTCTTTGAGGCCTAGTAGATATTTAATTGAGACGTGTTCCTTCATTTCTACTGACTTCACAAAGAAAGAGTGACGTGAGTAGAAACATAGCCCTGTCAGTGAGTGAGGCACAGCCCCATTGAAGTGGGGGTTTGTCAGCACCTTTCTCTGAGTGTATTCTGTGTGTCACGATCATACTAAATTAGGGAATGACCCTTTGTAAGCTATAAGCCCAGTGGACACACCTTTCTAAGTTGGTCTTCTTCAGTCAGAAAAGGTGGACAAGGCAGTTCTGCAGGAACTGAAGGAGAAGCTGGGCCTGGCCGAGAAAGCCCTGGCTTCAAAGCAGCTTCAGATGGATGAGATGAAGCAGACCATTGCCAAGCAGGAGGAGGACCTGGAAACCATGACCGTCCTGAGGGCTCAAGTAAGTCGTACTCTGAAACGTGGACTGGCAGTGTTTATTTCAAGCGGGAAAGGAATGTGGTTTAAAATGCATAGTTTAATCTTGTATCGTTCCGCCATTATATATATTTTTACCTTGTTAGTGAAGCATATGTTGTTGATTGGTAGGTCACTGAGTTAACTCCAACTCATAGCAACCCTTCGTCCAACAGAACAAAGCATTACCTGGCCCTGCACCCCCCTTAGAATCATTGCCATGTTTGATCCTATTGTTGCAGCCACTGTGTCAATCCATCTAGTTGAAAGCCTCCCATTTTTCTGGCTGACCCTGTATTTTACCAAGGCTGGTGTCTTCCTCTAGGGACTAGTGCCTCCCGATAACGTGTCCAGAGTATGTGAGACTTCCAAAGGAAGCCTTGACGTTGTTCCTTCTAAGGTCCGTACTTCTTCCAAGGCAGGTTTATTTGTTCTTCTGAAAGCCCATAATATATTTAATCGCCTTCACCAATATCATAATTATCATGATAATTCAAATGTATTCATTCTTCTGTGCTCTTCCTTTTTCATTACCCAGGTTTCACATGTATATGAGGTGACCGAAAAGACCATTGCTTGGGTCATGTGCACCTTAGTCCTCCAAGTGATATCTTTGCTTCTTAACACTTTAAAAGAGGTCTTTTGCTACAGATACGCAAAATGCAATATGTTATTTGTTATTTAGTATTTAAAGAGCACACTTATTAAGTCTTAAACTGGACAGGGGCAAGATAGCTTCAGAGACATGTCATCCAGTGAGGGAGACCATTAACCCAACATCATTGTGGTGTTTGCTGAGAAACAGAACTTTAAAAAGGACAGGGGACATCAAAGAAAGTTGTCACCAAAACATGGTGGCTAAATCATTTGATTTCTTGACTACTGCTTCCATGGGCATTAATTGTGGATCCAAGTAAAATGAAATCCTTGATACTTTCAATACTTTCTCCACGCGTCATGTTGTTGCTGATTGGCCCAGTTGTCGGGATTTTCATTTTCTTTACATTGAGGTGTAATTCATATTGAAGACCACAGGCTTTGAGCTTCATCTGTAAGTGCTTCCAGGTCTCTGCTTTCAGCACCAGGGTGGTATCATCTGTATATCACAGGTTATTAGTAAGTCTTCATTCTTCTTCGTATCGTCCAGTTTCTTAGATTATTTGCTCAGCATGCAAATTAAATACTATGGTGAAAGGATACAACCATGACACACACTTTTCCTGATTTTCACCCATGCGTTATCCTCTGAGTCTATTCTCATGACTGTGTATTGATCCATCCGCTATTCCTCATGAGCAAATGACGTGTTCTGGAATTCCTTTTCTTTTCAATGTTATCAAACACGTGGAAAAGTGCATTAATCTTTAGCGTAGAGCTTAATGTATTGGCATAAAGCATAAATACTGGTGAAACCACTAATCAGATCAATAGTAGAACATTAGCACTCTGGAAACCCTCCCATCCCTTCCAGCCCATCCATTACTACCTCCCTGGGTTTTTCCAACGATGTAACCATCATCATTCTGACAATAAATCCCCTAGTTTACTTTTTGACTTTTTGAACTTTATCTAAATAGAATCATATATATGTTTTTTGATATTGGCTTTTTCTGTGAACATGAAGTTTGTGAGATTCATCAATGGGTTCCAGTTGATCTAGCGCTTCCATTTTTGTCACTATTGTGGTTAGTTGTATACTGTTATTTAATTATCTATCTTTCCAGTCTGGGGCATTGTGATTCATGTTGTGACTTCCTCATGCAGGCCCCTCCTTCTGTTTCCATGTGCACTTGTGTCTGTTGGGTAGACAGAAGTGAAATTATCGCCCCATGGGGATATCCATGTTATTCCATTTTAATAGTAAATTGTAATTGTTTTCACCAGTATCATAATCAACATAATCCATATCATAATTCAGATGTATTAATTCTTCTTTGGCCTTCCTTTTTTGTTACCCAGGTTGCACATGTATATGAGGTGACTGAAAAGACCATTTTAATCGTAATTCCAAATGGCTTTCCACAATGGTTGTATCAGCGCTCACTCCCCTCAGCAATGATTGAGAGAGCCCATTGTTCTACATCCTTTTCAACACCTGTCTTATGGTCTTCTCTATTGTAGCTATTTTGGCAGGCATGGTTTCTCATTTACATTTTTTCAGCTGAACAATGAGTTTGAGTACTTTTTCAAATGTTTATTGCTCATGTACATACCCCTTTCAGTGTTTGATCAAGTAAACACAGTAATTGTACTCCAGATAGACGCTCGGGGACGAGCCCTTTCCTTCTCACAGAGGGATCTTTTGCTGAATAAGAGTTCTTTAAAAAAAAAAAAAGAGAGAGTTCTTAATTTTAATATAGTTCAATTTTTGTCTTATCATTTACGATTAATACTTTGGGTGCCCTGTTTAAGAAATGTTGCATTTCCTAAGGCCATGAAGGTAGTCTCCTGTATTGATCTTCTAAAAGCTCTGTTGTTTTCCCTTTTACACTAAGATTTTTACACTTTGGGGATTAGTTGTTCTGTGCGGAGTGAGACAAGGGTAAAATTTCACATTGGTTTCCTATGTGAGCATCCTATTGACTTGGCACCATTTATTAAAAAGGTCCTCCTTAATTGCTCTATTGCCTTCTTTGCCGTTACATTTTGTCCATGTCAGCATGTATCTGTTTCTGGACTCTACATTGCTCCCTGGTTTTCATGTATATCCTTTATCGGATACCATACTCTCTTGACTTATATTACAGCTTCGTGTGTTTTGACTTATGGTAGAATGAGCCCTTCTCCTTTATTAATATTCGGTAAGAAGCCTGTATGTATTATTTCCCCTTTGCGTTTTCATATACATTTTAGAATGAGTTTGGCATGTTCCATATATACATACACATAAACCTACTGGGGTTTTGGTTAGGATTATATTAAATATTTATAGATCAATTTGGAGAGAGCTGACATCTTTACAGTTTGAATCTTCCCATCATGATATCTAAACTTTCATTGTTCTCAGTAATGCTTTTTAATCTGCTTAGTAGAGGTTTTGCTTACCTTTCATTCGATTTAGTCTTAGATCTATACAACATATAATAAAACACAGAAGACAAATCTAATAAATATCATGTATAATTTTATGATTATAGAATCTAGATGATACCTAAAAACCAGGTTGACTCAAATTGCCATCAAGTCGGTTCATAGCAGCCTTCGACCTCAGGGTAGTAGCACTGCTCCAGAAAATTCCTGAGGCTGGGGATCTTCTCTTTTTTTTCAGTCATTTTAATAGGAGCTCTTACAGATATTATAACAGCCTATAATTCAATTAGATAAGTATGATTGTTCAATTGCAGCCACGATCAGTTTCAAAACATTTTCTTTCTTCTTGAACTCTTTGATATCAGTTCCCCATTATCCCCTCCCTCCCCCACCCAACCCTCAGGAACCCTTATTGTTTTATATTATATTATATTACCCATTCATGCAGGCCCCTTTGTTCCCAAGTGCACCTGTATCTATTGGGTATATAGCTAGGAGTGAAATTGCCACTCCATGAAGATATACATGATATATATACATATTCCCCCTGTATCTTATATCATCCAATGTATCCCCTCACCTACAATTCTGTTATTTGTTCCCCTCCAGTGGGGTTATACAGTTATCATTGCTATCAGCTCCTCCTTCCCCCTCTGCCCCACCGTTTCATCCCGTACCCTCAGGGAATCATTACGCTGGTTACTGATTCTAAAGGGTTAGCTATCTTGGCTTTCATGCATCCAATTAACTTAATCATACAAATGAACATACTGTACACAGGTCTAAGAAGGTTAATGAGGTAAAACAAAGACCATGATATAGTAAGGGGAGGAAATAGTAAAGAACTAGAGGGGAGTTGTGTGTTTCATCGGCGCTATGCTGCACCCTGGATATGTCATCCCTTCCGTGTGGCCCTTCTGGGAGGGATTGTCCAATTATTATTTTTTTTAATTAGGGGTTCTTATAGCTCTTATCACAATCCACACATAAATCCATTTTATCAAACATATCTTTACATATGTTGTCATCATCTTTTTCAAAACATTTTCTTTCTACTTGAGCCCCTGACATCAGCTCCTCATTTTCCCTCTCCCTCCCCCACAGGTAAGTTTGGGGTCTCCCCTCTGTCTATGTTCCTTCAGATCAATTTGATTGCTTGTTTTTGAACTTCTGATACCAATTCCCATCGGCACCTCATGGAAACACAGGCTAGTGTGCTTCTTCCATGTGGGCTGTGTTGCTTCCCTGCCAGATGGCCGCTTTCTGGAAAAGTAGATTGCCTTCTCTTTCTCCCATCGAGCAGCTGTTGGCTCAAACCAGGGAGCAGCTGATTGCTACTCCAGGGCTCGCTCCTAATGGAGAGTAACATCACAACATTAAAAATGGCTTTAAAAAAACAACACGTCATTTCTGAAGGTTTGCTGATATAGTGAAGTAAAATTGATTTTGTGTGTGTTAGCTTTGTATGCAGCAGATTTTCTTAATTCATTTTAATTCTAAGTATTCTTTTGGAATTTCCACATAAATAATCATTTGACTTGAATAATAAAAGGGTTTCTGTTTATTTCTTGGTTTTCCTTGCTTAATGTTGTGTAGTAGTAGCGAGAACAATAGCTTTGTCTTACTCCCAGACTCATAGGCAATGCAGTCAACATTGTACTGTTAAATGTCTGATGCTTGCTATATACTTTCTGTACCTATGATTCTATCAGATTAAGGAAATTTTATTTGCCAAGAATTTTGGATCAATTTTTATTGAAGAAGTATTTCTTGTCCATATAATTAGATAATTAAATACCGTCTTCGTATGTCCGTGTGGTGAAATGCATTGATTTTTCTGAATTTGCTGTTTTGTTTTACGCCGTGGGTCCCTCGGGCTCTTGTCTGTACCTAGTGCTGGATGTAGCTTGCTCGAGCGTTACCGAGAACTTTTGCATGTCTGTTCTTGAATAAGGGAGCCCTGGTGGTGGTGGTGCTGGGTGAGCATTGGACCAGCAACCGCAAGGTCAGTGGTTCAAACTGCCCCACAGGAGAAAGGAGAGGCTGTCTGCTGCCATGCAGAGGGGCGGCCTTGGAAACCCTATGCAGGACCCCTCTGAGTTGATTGACGCGATGGCAGTAAAGGTGATATTCCTCAACAAGATCGGCACCGAGTGTTTCATACACTGCTGACCTTGTCCCGTTGTGATAGATCATATTGTCACTAAAACAAGGTGAGGCCTATTTTTGCCCCCATTGTTCTCTGGGATAATTTGTAAAAGGTGGGTTTATGGTGACTATTTTAATCCTCCTGATGGCAGTAGTTGGAGCGATAAGGAGATTTAAAACTACATAGTTTGGTGAGGCATAATAGGGCTCCCCACTCCCCCACCCCCCCGCTATTCTTTTGTTGATTTGTTAGTTGGTTTAATTTAAAGTGGGTTCATTGTACCTTCTGTGCTGTAGCATTTTCACTATCTGTCTATCTTGGGCATTTCTCCAAGGTAGTACCCACAGCTGTATATATATTTGTGGCATATTGCCCTAAAGTGTGTTACCATTGATAGATTTGACCAGTCCTGTCATGATAGCCAATGAGCCCTGGACTGCTAACCACAAGGGTGGCAGTTCAAACTCACCACCTGTTCTGCAGGAGAAAGGTGAGACTGTCTGCTCCTGTGAAGATTTAGTCTTGGAAACCCACGGGAGCAGTTCTTACTCCTGCCTGTGGGGTCGCTGTGAGGAAGAATTGACTTGGTGGCAGTGTTGGGTGTTTGGGTTTGTATTAGTGGGCAGATAGGTAGCGAGTACTAAGACCTTTGCTGTTTTTGTATGTATGTTTCACGTCCATGTAGAATAGTCCAAATGGAATGGTTGAATCAGTGGATATGCACATTTTTAAGTTAAGTAAATAGTCCCAGATTGTCTTCCAAAAATACATTACCCAAATTTTCCTCACCATAAACATATTTAAAAGTTCCTGTTTCTACATACCCTTCTATACACCATCTATGTGTATGTATTGGGATCTATATCCATATCCATGAATGTGGAGATGCTCATGATGCATCATTGTCAGGGGACTCCACTGAGATGGATCGTTTCCTTTGCTGTGGGGACGCTGTGCTCTGACAGGTTGCCCCACTCTCCTATAGTTGTCTGTCCATCTTTGGTTTACCTGGACAGCCCCTCTGGTCCATTTGTCCAACAGCTCTTCTTGTTAGTGCCCTTAATATGTCAGACACTGTTCACACTTCGGGGGCTATAGGGACGGACAAAATAAAGACCCTGTCCTTCCTGGCTCAAAGCTGGTAAGTCCTTGAAGGTATCTTTAATAAATACATTTTTTCCTAACTACAATTTTGAATGAAAACTTAACTGGCAGGGAGTCAATCTTTGACACAGAGTGACCATGTAGGACAGAAGAGAACTACCCTTTTGGGTGTCTGAAACTGTACCTCTTTACCAAAGCAGACAGCCCCATCTGGCTCCGGCGACTGCTGGTTCAAACCGCTGACCTCGGTGGATAGCCCCTCAGTATGTAGCCATTGTGCCAGCAGAGCTCCGATCAGTTTTGACAAAATGTTTACATCGAAAACAATGTTATTTTCCAAAGGAAGGGTCATGAACGTGACTCATATCCCTGAATTGTAGGTGTGACAGGTGTTGAAAAGGGCAAGCGATTTGTTACATATATTCACCACCACATTCATAAATGAACGGAGACTCGTTTTTATCCTGGAGTTATTAAATTTGAAAAGGAAAAGCCTACAGTTTTAAACCTAGAAAGTTACTCACCAGTATTAGAATAATATTCAATTCACTTACATTATTAAGGGGGATCCAAGAGCAACTTAACCGGTTAGTCGTAGCTTTCTAAAGCAGTGGTTCTCAACCTTCCTAATGCCGCGACCCTTTCATACAGTCAGTCCCTCATGTGTAGTGACCCCCCAACCATAACATTATTTTTATTGCTACTTCATCACTGTCATTTTGCTACTGTTATGAATCGGGTGACCCCTGTGAAAAGGTCGTTTGCCCCCCAAAGGGGTCGCGACTCACAGGTTGAGAACCCCTGCTCTAAAGGGTCTCTCCTGAGGCTGACCCTCAAAAGAGATCGGAAGACCCATCTCCAGGATGTCTCACTTACCCGGCTGGGGGTGGACGGCCTCAGTTCCTCCCCTGTTGGAGCTGCCCACAGAGCCCCCTCAGTGCTCCGACAACAGAGCGACTGGTTGCCCCAGCAAGCAATCCAGCAAGGGGGAAACCTCTGTGTCTCTTGTGGTGACCCAGTCTCAAAAGCTTCACACTATCATTTCCGGAAAATCCTAGCGCATGTTGGCCATATTCCTTGTGGCAGCGGATCACATCAGGGCATGAGCAGCCCTGGTGGCAGCAGGGCGACGAGTCGGGCTGTGGTCCTCGCGGCTGGCAGGTGGAAACCACCTGCAGCTCCTCGGGAGAAAGACGGCCTTTTTCCTCCATAAACTCCATAAATCGATGAGTCCGCAGTGCCTGCATGGCAGTGCGAGTAAGCACCCCATCTTGGAGGCTAACCACCACCATGGGAAACCAGTGGTATGAGGAAGGAATGAGGCCTTCAACCTGGTCTCAGATCTTCATTGGGCCACTTAACTAATAGCCCAAGGTTAATAATAAACCTAGCAGAGTGAATCAACCATTTACTATAGTGAAGTTAATCCTGACTATTTTTATTAGACAGTTGGCCACACTCTGAAGGGATACAATGGCATAAATCATGGGTTAGGCATTGGGCTGCTTACCGCAAGGTCGGCAATTCAAACCCACCAGCTGCTCTGTGGATGAAAGATGAGGCTGTCTGGTCCCCGAAAGATTGACCGTCTCAGAAACCCTATGTGGGACCACTGTGAATCAGAACCAACTCTATGGCAATGGGTTTGGGTTTTAGTATTGAAACAGTGTAAACCTGTGACATTGCTGTCTTCTAAGTCTTTGCAGCACATGCCCACATGCGACTTGTATCTTCTGTTTGGATACAATTGCAAAGGCGTGGCCATGACATTGATCTCCAGCAGGAATGTGGACCTCTAATTTATAAAGCGTATCACAGCATGCAGCCGATCCACATTCTTCTTGTTAATAGCCGTTGTCTCTTTTTCTCTCTAACAGATGGAAGTTTACTGCTCGGATTTTCATGCTGAAAGAGCAGCAAGAGAGAAGATCCATGAAGAAAAGGAGCAGTTGGCATTGCAGCTGGCAATTTTGCTGAAGGAAAATGATGCTCTTGAAGATGAAGGCAGGTAGGAAGATGAAGGAGAGGAAGACTTAGAGCCTACACCAGCTTGGGGTTATGGAAGAGGTGATCTGTCTAAGACGTCTCATAATTGCAGCTCTGAGAATGGCTCAACATTCTTCATCGAATCGTGTTCCTAGCTCTGAGTTTGGCTTACTCTCGGGCTCTGCGGAGTCTTGTGGGAGCCCGACTGGGTTCCGTGCTGTGAGATACGCCATAAAGACATGGCATTATGTGTTCTAGGGCCCAATCTTGCCACTGTCATGAAGAATATATTCATAACAGTTCACATTTTCCCATGTGTTTTAAAAGAAAGCACTACTAAAATGACGTCTGATTTTTTTTTTTAATTTCATTTTGAGGATTTTCAAGTGATATACACCAATATATACCCCATCCAAAATTGGCAGTTGCTAACAATTACTTCATTTTGTTTTGTTTGTAACTTCTTCTTGTGAGTTAAATGAAGGTGTACAGAGCTTTACACTCAACAGGTCATGCCTAGTTTGTGTCGACCCATCCATTGCCATCCCTCACCGCACCATCACTTACCCCACTGCCTCCCTGTGCCTCCTGCTTCCATTCCACTCTGCCCTAACCCTCTGAGCTGTTTGTGGGTAAATGCCACTGTGTTAGGGTTCTCTAGAGAAACAAAACCAGGACACTTGCGATTATATATATATATATATATAATACAGCTTGAAGGAATATAATAGCTAATTAGTCCACACAGCAGTATAGAGGGCCCAGTTCAACTCACTTCCATGGAACAGTTAATATACTGGAAGTCCTTCAAATCACGAGGGCTGCTGGATCCAGAGTCAAGAGAGCAGACAGCTGAGTCTTCTGTAGAGTACATGCAGGCAGTCCGTCCACAGGCAGCAAACAGCAGGGCAGGTCACCAACAGTCAGCCAGATGACAGGTTCCAACAGTCCCTGCAATGTATGCACCAACAGCTTGGCGAAGCAGATCTTGAAGGAACCTCAAGCTCTAGTGACATGATCCACGGGTTGGGTGTCCCAGGGGTAGTGGAGCTCACAAGTTGAGGCAGAGAACTAGCTAAGGCAACCGCACACTGGTCTGATCACCAGAGAGCAAGAGAGAGACAAGCGAGGTTTGCCAAAACATTTATCTCTTTGCCCTCCAATCAATCTGTGACCTTATTAATTCCACATGTTTCTATTGGCCAGATTGGCATAATAAACCTACCTATCACAGCCACTTTTTTTTATCTTAAATGGTTAATGACTCTAGCTCTGGGCAAGTTCAATTCCAGACCTGAAGGGTGGTGAAGGGCCATCATCTTGGGGGTCCCACCAGTCTTATCTGACCTGTAAGCGTGGGCTCTTTTATGGTTTTGAGTTCCGTTTGATCCATCTTTCTCCCACTCTATCCAAGGGCATCTGATGTGATCCTTTTCAGGGCTGGTGGTAGTGGTAGCCAGACCTCATTAGTGTTACTGTTCCCCTTATAAACCTCAAAACTGAGCCACGGAGGGGAGTTCAGTTCCAGACCCGAAATCGATTGTCATAATCTGGGGGATTCTGTCAGTATCTATCTGAGTAGTAAGTCTGGTCTCTTTCGTGATTTGTAATGTTGTGTCACCTATTTCTCCCACTCTGTTCAGGAC